ACTGGAGCACTGGTTTAGCATATCTTGGATTGTGTCCTGATATGTTTCAGCATTGCATGCGTGCTTGTTCAAGGAATGTTCATTTGAGCATCGTGGAGCATTCCTGCACACAGACTAAATTCAATGCATCTGCTGATGTCAGTCTGGTTTAATGTCGGTCCCCCGGAATTACGTCTGTGTCCATGATTGCTCCAGAATCTTTCTTGAATACCCCCGTCTGTTCAAAAGAACATACCGTTGATTGATCCAAAAACAAAAACAAAACAGAACAACAACAACAACAACAACATACCGTTGATCCCCTTTTGCAGTGAAGTGATGGAAATGTTCCAGTTCTGAAGGTGTAATAAGATGGCGCTCTCTCCCTTTCTGGGGACTCGAGCCCTTCGGGAGATTTGTTCATTGCATGGGGACGTAGACCGACCGGCATACACACACAGCGTAACTGCTGTGCCTGTGTTCTTTTCTTCTGCATCCAAACAGAACACCCGGTTAATTGTCGCTGTTTAGAGCAACCGGCATACACACAGAGTGTAAATATGCTGTGGCTGTGTGTTCTTCTCCTCTACATCCAAACAGAACACCCAGTTAATTGTCGCTGTTTTGGGTCAAGTTTCATTCTACATACAGCGATAATTACCAGGTGTTCTTTTCGGGTGAAGATGGTAGTTATGTGGAGGGCATGTGCGCTTGCAATATATGTCTGTGGCATGGCCTCTGAAACAGTGTGTGGAATTGTAAAGCCTCGATGCTCTGCTCCAATGGGCCTCACCCAAACTATTGCGGTCTTTTTTTTGCCTTCTCATCTGCTGCCAGTGGAGTTTGAACTTGGGTCTGTATTTCAACAGTTCAGCGCTGTACCGACTGAGGTCGGCCAGTTGGTGGGACTTTAGCAGTCTTGTCTGTTATGATCGTGTATCGTGGTCCGTCACCACGAGGTCGACACTGGTCCTCCCATGGGTTCTTTGCATTGGCTGCAGTCTGACATGTCAGCCATTTAATATTTACCCTTATTCTCTCTCGACTCTTAGGAAGAAAAGCTATATGACCTGCAATTGCTACAGCGTAGCCTCCATTTACTGAGTTAAAAAAAAAAAACATTTTACGCGATTATTGTCACTTCGCCATATTTGTGTTAATTCAGTCCAAACTAGTTTATTTTTGCATATCCTTCCGACCTCCATCTTACCTCCTACCTCTCTGTACCCATGTTCTTTCACTCTTTTCGCCTGTCTCTGAACCCGCCTCTCGTTTAAAAGAGAAGACACCAGAAAAAACAAAAAAAGACCGAGTGTAGGTGTGCAAAATATCACAGACGTCTGTGCGGGCACTCCCTGCTGAACCACGCAGAGGGGGCAGACATGGCACTCCAACAGGAAAACTGATATCAATTTAACGGGGAAACTGATATCAATTAAATGGGGAAACTACGGGGGAGTCACAAGAACGAGTTATTATTGCACTACGGGCCAATATACAGTTTTGAATTGCAGTTCGGGCAATGTATACAACCCAGGTTTCTGGCCCGGTAGGATGCTTGAAGTGCAATTGCAAACAGTATCTTGCCCCGTAGTGCAATTATAACTTACTTTAAGAATTTTCTTAATGACCTAATCAAGTTCGCAGAAAACAAACATTCAGCTGCCGCACATAAGTATATGAATCTGGACCCGCTACTGATCCCTATACGTTCCGAATGTTGGAACGCCAATTAGGGCTACAGTGCCTTTCTTTGTGATGAACCCAGTCTCGCCCCTGCCACACGCCAGCATAGGGGTGGTGTAGGGGCTATTGGGGGGGGTATGGGGGTGTTGGGGTTTGGTTTGGGGGCGTTGGAGGGGTGTATGGTGGTATTGGGGGCGGGTCTGGGGGTGTTGGTGGGGTATTGGGAGGTCTGGACCCAAAAAAATAAAAATAATAAAAATAATAATAATAATAAAAAATTGCGGGGTGCGGACGACCCCAGACCGGTTGGCTCCGACCAGTCAAGGGGCGCCGACCATCGGGGTATGGAACACTGGTCTCAATGATAATCAATAGTACAAGTATGTCTCACTGTCTCTCCCACTTCCACTTCGGGCTTCCCCCCCTCTCGCCACCTCAGCAACGAGTGTTCTGTCTGACGTTCTGTGTCACAGTCACTGTGCAGATCAATACATGGCGCCCATCCTCCCTCCACGTCAGCAAACAGATATGGAGGATGTTGCAGCACTTCCTCCCCTTCGTGGAGACAGCAGCAGATCACATGTGTCGCCCGTCAGTCTCACAGCCCTGGTCCTCCTCCTCCTTGCCAATACTCATCACCTAGTCTATAACTACGCAACTATGGTCGCGGCAGCATAATCTCCCTCTAGGCTGGCGCCCCCTACTTGCAGCATTGGTTGCCAGCACCCAGCTCCAGCAGCCTCGCTATACCGCACTAGCATCAAACCAGCTCAATCCTGAATACCTTCCCCACCGTCTGACCATCCTTTTGTAGCTTTGACCAGTGTTGCCTGCCGTGTACCAGTCTCCCCGTTGACTGTGTCGACGCACCAGATTTGCCTGATCTCGACGGCCTGGATGCAGCCTTGAAGCAGCGGTACCTTTTTTCTGAGTCTGGACTGGAATCTACCGGATACCTGCAGAGAACCAATGATGTGCATCTGATCGATGGCCGTGGATGACCATCGGATTGACTTTGACTTTGGACCTGCCTCTCCCATGCGTGGTTTGACTCTTGATTTTCCAAGAGTCAACTACCGCAGCGCGTGGGGCCTCTGGATGCTGGTTTTGGCCCTGCCCTGGGTACCCCCTTGACCTTAGGCCCTTGCGAGGGCTTTTCACAGAGTCTGACTTGGGCCGTGAGTCTTCACCCCCGTTTCAGGCCTGTGTGACCAAAAGTGGCGGCCTGTAGCCCGCCGCTATGCAGATTTGGCCAGAGTTATTGCATCTCTCTTTTTTTCCAAGTCCAAATGCATCCAGTCCGAACTTCAGGCCACATACATGTAGAATATTGTGTAGTAGTGGAGTGAGACCCTTAGGGTGGTCAATGTTTAGAGTATAAACTATAAAGTAATATACGCTCGATCATGTAATTTCAAATTAAATTTGGGAATTTTGGGTTGAATACCCTTCGGGTATTCTGGTGTGCGATTTGCCAACCTTGTTTTTGTGTTCTGCATTAATTGACTCTGAGAGTCTGAGCTAATTACGACCATTGAATTGAGCAAACTTGGTGGACAAACACAATTTATGTGAAGAAGATAAACTAGCAGCTGCTTGAGCATTCGGCGAAGTAACACTATCCACTTATCAAAAATAATGTGTCCCTGACTCCTTGGGAAACACAAGCAATCCAACCTGTAGGGTTTCCTTATTCATTTCCCATCCTTTAATAGAATTCCCCAACAAATTTTAATTTTTGGACTGTCTAGAACTCCTGAAAATTTCCCACTGGCCCAGCTCAGTTGGTATAGCAATGAACTGTTGAAATATGAATCAGACCCTAGTTCGAATCCAGATACAATCAGATGAGTAAGACTTACGCTCGTTTAACTTGATTTAAGTTGATTTAACTTGGGGACGGCCAGCTCAAAGGTGATATCTAAAGGCGGCAGACCTTTATTTCCGGAGGTGGAGGGGGAGGGGGAGGGGGAGGGAGGGGGGAGAAAAAAAAAAAAAACAAATTTGATTGGGCTTGCTGGGCTATTACAGTGTGGTGGTTGGGGGGGAGGGAAAAAAAAAAAAAGAAGTTGATTGGGCTTTCTGGGCTATTACAGGTTGGTGGTTGCAAGATAATAATGTTGTGTTCTTGCTGATGGTGATTCTTTAGGCGTGTACTCACTCTGTGACTCTTTTTTTTGACTAATCTCTGGGCATAACTGCGGTCAGATACATCCAGGGCCAGCCGTAATTCCTGTTAGATACATCCTGGGAAGTGCTAGTGTGATCATATTCTTACACTTTGCAGTGTGCTTGCCCTTTGTGCAGTTGTGGGTGTCACAGACTCTGTCTCTCAGTTGGTGAGAGAGAGCTGTACAGCCGTCCAAATCCAAAAAAAAAAAAAAAAAAAAAAAAAAACAGTCGACATAGAAAGCACTCACACTAAAACAATAAAAATGAAAAAAGAAAGAACTGCTATTTTTCCTCCATCTGGAGCACTGCTTTGTGTGTGTGGATGGCCAGTTTGAAAATTTGACGAGAACGCCGTCTTCAGAAGTTGCATGCCTTCTTTTTCTTCGTTCTTCTTTCTTCTTTTTTCTAAGCAACAAAGAACGTACATTCATTCTGCTAACGACCAGGTGCATGACTTGCCACTGTGAGAAAACAGATGCCCATCCTCCATCTGCCCCAATGTGAACTCATATGGCTCTTCGCCAAACTTTGGCAGGGATAGTCTTGAAATTTTCCCTTAGCGAAAAATCCCCTTAACGTGGGAGAGCTTTTCCCTAAAGTTTGTGCTCGCTATGTCATCATGGCCATTGACGGCATACTCACACTACTGTCTTCCTGTCAAGACGAGCCACCCTCGTCTTTGGATGCGTACGAATTCTGATTCCAGTCCGATACAGTCATGATGAGGGTGCGTTATGTTTGGTGGTGAGCGTTGAGGTCATAGGGTTTAGGATTGAGGATAGAGTGTTAAGGGCTCAGGGTTTAGGGTCAACAAGGGTTGAGGGTTTAGGGATTAGGGTAGACGGTTGAGGGTTAAGGGTTTAGGGTTTAGGGGTTAAGGGCTAGGATTTAGGATTTAGAGTTAAGGGTTGAGGGTTGACGGTTGGTGGTTAAGCCATCAGGGTTGAAGGCCGAGAGCTGAGGGTTCGGAGTTGAGGTTTTGCGGTCGACGACTGAGCGCTCAGGTTTTAGAGCTTAGAGTGGACAGTTTATGGTTTTAGGGTTTAGGGTATATGGTTTGGGGTTTAGGGTTTAGATATATGGTTCGGGGTTTAGGGTTCAGGGTATAGGTATATGGTATAGGGTTTAGGGTATAGGGTTCGGGGTTTACGGTTTAGGGTTTAGGGGACAGGGTGTATGGTTCGGGGTTAGGGTTTAGGGGATAGGGTATATGGTTCGGGGTTTAGGGTTTAGGGTATAAGGTATAGGGTTTAGGGTATAAGGTATAGGGTTTAGGGTTTAGGGTTTAGGGTATATGCTTCGGGGTTTGGGGTTTGGGGTTTAGGGTATAGGGTTTGGGGTTCCGGGTTCCGGGTTCAGGGTGTAGGATTTCAGGTGTACGGTTTCAGTTCAACAGTTTATCGTTTAGGGTTTAGGGGAGAGGGTTTGGTGTTGAGGGTTCAGAATTCAGGGTTTTGGGTCTGGTGTTGAGGGTTCAGGGTTTAGGGTTCAGGGCTTAGGGTTGAGGATTGAGGGTTGAGGGTTGACGATTGAGGATCGAGGATTCTGGCTTCTGGTTAAGGATTTAGGGTTTAGGGTTTAGGGTTTAGGGTTTCGGTTTGATTGTAGGCCTCTCTTGACCGATTGTTGGATGTATTGTAGTCAGATACATTCCGATTCGCTCTCATTGGGGCCGGATATGTCCCCGAAATTCATATCGTGAGTACGCTAAGTTGAGACCCAAGCAGGAATATCTATTGGTTCCTGGGCAGAGTAATTCATCAGTTCAGCTGGACTAGACTCACTAGAGTCGTCTGGTAGCGAAGAAGGCACATGCTTGCACCTGGTTTTTGCTTTTTCATTGGAAAAGACGAACGAAATTAACTTTTGAAGCTTTCAATCGTTTGAGTCGCTTGAATCATTTTAAAAAAAACTAATCTATATTTCTCACTCTCCCTACCTACCTACCTACCTACATATATGTCGAATTTTTTTTTCCAGGGCATTCTCAAGGTTATGGGTTGAGTTTCCAGCCTTCCCAGACTATTCTGCTCTATGCGGGGAGTAGTACTCCGGATGCTAAAACCTGGCATGAGCTGGAAAGCCTAAGCAACTTCCACAACCAGCCAGGAGGCCCAAGCCAAATATCTGTGCTGGTGAAGTTCAACCCGAAGCGCAGAGCTAAAGAAAGAAAGAAAAAAAAATCATTTTTTTCGTTGGGGAAAAGAAAAGGTAGTTTTTAATTGGGGAAAAAACGAAGTCGTTTGGGGGTTGTAGAAGAAAAAGGGAAGCGGTTTTCGTTTTTCTGCGACACCCGGGCCCACCGCATATGATGATATGACAGTCAACGGAGTGAGTGCTGATTTTCCTTGTTTTTGTTTCCTGTTCCCTTTTTTGTTTGTTTGTTTAAGGGGACTGGCCCGAACGTTATTGTATCTATTGGGATTAAATTTTGCTTCACAGTCTGGTCATCAACAGACAAATAATATCATAGTATCATTCTTTGAATTTCTTTCCCTTTTCCCCATTTATCGCTTTTTCTAATTTTGTGAATACCCTTCTCTCTGCAACTCTTGTTTGCAGGTGAGGGCAAATAGAACCCGTTGTCAACGCAGCAGTGGCAGTGCCATCAGGTAGGCTAGCTGCTGATGTGTTGTAAGTCCAAGATGGGCTCATCAAGAGCGATGATGGGGCAAGCAGCCAAGTCATATAAGGTTCAGGAGGTACAGATTGAGGGTCGTAAGGAAGCCACTGGAGACTGGAGGTCCGTGTGGAGGATGAAAAGGCTGTAGGTGGGAAAACGCGACTGAGGAGGGTGGAAAAGGAGGTGAAGAAAGATCAGGAGCAGGAGGGGGTCGAGAAGAATTAGGAGTAGGCAAGGGAAAGGGAGGAAAAGGGGTACCATCAGCGACAGCAGCCGCAGCAGAATAAGCAGGATAAGCTGGAGGAGGCAGAGGAGGCAGAGGAGGAGGAGGATGATGATGATGATGATGAGGAGGAGGAGGAGGAGGAGGAGGAGGAGGAGGAGGAGGATAGAAATAGGAAGGAAAAGGAGGAAAAGGAGGAAAAGGAGGAGGAGGTGAAGAAAGAGCAGGAGCAGGAGGGGGTCTAGCAGAATTAGGAGTAGGCAAGGGAAAGGGAGGAAAAGGGGTACGATCAGCAATAGCAGCCGCAGCAGGATAGGCAGGATAAGCTGGAGGAGGCAGAGGAGGGAGAGGAGGGAGAGGAGGGAGAGGAGGCAGAGGAAGCAGAGGAGGAGGAGGAGGAGGGGGGGGAGGAGGAGGAGGCGGAGGAGGAGGAGGCAGACGAGGCAGAGGAAGCAGAGGAGGAGGAGGAGGAGGAGGAGGAGGAGGAGGATCACAATGATCAGGAGAGGGGGCAGAGGAGGGGGCACAGGCGGCAGAGAGGGAGAGGGAGCCGAGGAGGGGACACAGGCGGCAGAGAGGGAGGAGGAGGAGGAGGAGGATAGAGAGAGGAAGGAAAAGGAGGAAAAGGAGGAAAAGGAGGAAAAGGAGGAAAGGAGGAGGAGGTGAAGAAAGAGCAGGTGCAGGAGGGGGTCGAGCAGAATTAGGAGTAGGCAAGGGAAAGGGAGGAAAATGGGTACCATCAGCAATAGCAGCCGCAGCAGGATAGGCAGGATAAGCTGGAGGAGACAGAGGAGAGAGGAGGGAGAGGAGGGAGAGGAGGGAGAGGAGGCAGAGGAGGCAGAGGAAGCAGAGGAGGAGGAGGAGGAGGAGGGGGAGGAGGAGGAGGAGGAGGAAGCGGAGGAGGAGGAGAAGGATCACAATGATCAGGAGACGGGGCAGAGGAGGGGGCACAGGCGGCAGAGAGGGAGGAGGGGAAGGAAATATAGGATGGAAAAGGAGGACGACGACAACAGGTGCAACAACACGGAAAGGCAGCAGGGCAGAGGAGGAAGAGAGGCAAGAGAATGAGGAGGAGGAGAAAAGAGAGGAGGGGAAAGGAGGAGGGTGACAACAACAACGAGAGGTCGCACAGGAGGAGGCAGAGGAGGAGGAGGAGAAGGAGGAGGAGGAGGAGAAAGAGAGAGAAAGGAAAAGAGGAGAACAATCACAATGACAAGGAGAGGAGGCGAGAGAAGGCTGAGAATAGTATTCGTCAATAGACTCGATACCTTTTTTTTGTTGCTGGGCCTGTCGATATCACGGTTACATGGAGTCTGTATTTTCTTTTTACAGTATTTGGTCGGCCCAGGGCAGGTCCAGAGTAGGTTCTATTTACTTTGGACGGGTTTTATTTTATGGAGAGGGGTTGTTTTTTCTGGATTAAGGGGCTGATTTTCTGATTTTTTCTGCGTGGTGTGGTTTTAAGGGTTTTTTGGGAATTTGGTAGTACTTTGTTGTTTCCCGCTGTGCAGGTTTCCCACCTATACCATGTTCCTGCCTTGTAATATTGATTCGCATTTAGGGCCTGATGGGCCTGGACTTCATACGGGACCCCACCGGCGGCGGCAGGCTGTGAGACAGCTGGAAGGGTATAATATTATACTGGATTGCACCAATCGTGCATTTCTTTCGAAGTGAATGTGCTTCCGACGGATGGGAGGGAACGTATATGCGGATGCTGTCAGGGAGACAACGATGACATTTGCTGATCAGTGCCAGCAGGGATTCTGCTATTCGCGACTGAGAGTGTGTGACGCCCGCTCCTCGTCTTTGTGTACATGAAAGTGCACCAGATGCTGGCATAGCAGTTTGAGGGGCACATATGATCAGTTGAGTTGATGAGGACCGCAGGTGATTGGCAAGATTGGTGGTAGGTACAGGCTCGCATGCAACGTCCTGGGTGTTGGTCGATCTCGGCTCGAGTCCCATAAAATATAAAAGGACTAATTGATAGAGCTTTTTCCTAGTAGGAAAAAGCCGACAACAGAAAATTTCTAAACTGAAACTATGATTGAAAGTTAAATTTCAGCTGAACTCCAAAATTTTCATGCTACTGCGCGGGTTTCAGTTTTACTTAACATTCTCGTCACTTGTTGAACACCGTTGAAAAATCATTCCTCAGCTAAAAAGGTGGTGGACATTTCCGTTTTCGGTAGTCCTACTTTTCCTTGGCTTGATCTTGCGGAATACCATTCCCGCCCCCCTTTTCTTTTTTTCTTTGGCTTGATCTTGCGGAATACGATTCCCGCCTCTTCGCATGGTCCGTTCATGCTTGGTGGGAAAATGGACTGTCGGGGAAATATTGAAAAATGCCAGCGAAATCACGGCCTGGCGGAAAGAACGGCTAGAAACTGCCGTAGAAACTGCCATAGAAACTGACGGACCGGACCCGCCTTTGTACAGGCCGTAGAAACTCCCGCCTTTGTACAAATGGTCAGAGCCTGACTCGGAAGAGCAACCCGCCCGAACGGACCCGGGCCTTTGGACTGAGGAAAGGTAAAAATTATGTGAGTTCATCTCCCTGCCGAATGTGGCCAGATACAGATCATAGAAGTGCCTAGCCCAGCATGTGGTTCGAAACCATATATGTACTTCGGCGCGCAGTAGTAGTGTCAGTTCACATTCAACAATCGTCACCTTCGTTGAGTGCGCCGTACTGTCCGTTGCCACCGTGCGCGCGATGTATCTGCCTCCCCCACGAGAAGACCAATGATCGCTCCTCCTCGCCCCTCTGTCTTCGTCTTCACAATCTGTCTCGGAGTCCATCGCCGGAAGTTGTCGTCGGTTTCAACCGACGTGTGCGGCTGTCGTCGCCGCCGTTTTCATCTCAATTCCTGCGGCGTGGCCTTATATACCAACACACATCGGACGGGATCACTCGATTAGTACCCGACCTGTGAGGGGAAGTGATTGGTTCTGCCTCCCTTCATTTCGCTTAGTGAAACAGCCCTGAACGGTGAAGAGGACAAATCGTCCACCGTGGCCGATCGTCAGTGATTGGCATTTGAAAAAGAAGGGCAGGGAGAGAAGCGGGAGGGGGAGGGGATTCGCGTGAGGTTGTTGGGAGCCATTCCTGCATCCCTACTTCCGACGGAGGTGGGCGCGAAATGAAGGGGGAGATGGGGGGGGGGGGCCGGACAAGTAGCAAGAAGCGCTCTAGCTGGGTGTATGTGG